ATGGACAAATCTTTATTTTATTTAAAATACTTCACTAAAAATATGATTTTTGTATGTGAAAAGACTTATAATATTAACTGAGAGATTGCCAAATTTTTGTGAAGATACACACACACTCTATATTAAGAGTTATAAGTATTAAATCTATAAAGACTTTAAAATGAGTACAAAAAGGTCACAAGGTCGGTCAAATTGACCAAGCCCGTATTGAGAGAGTTAACCGTGTTTTTGGTGAGTGCTAATGTTTATTCCAAGTGTTGTTACAGTTTAATAAAGTGTTTTTTGTTGAACCCCGGTTGTAGTGGTGTATTATTTTTGACCTTTATAACATATTTAATAGATTTACTGTTACAAAATCACCCCACATATATATTGTAATCTTATGAATTACATACACTTAAACTATACTACATTCTGCTATTTGAAATTTATTGCTAATGCATTGTCACCTGTACAAAATTTACTGGTCCAAATGGAGACATCACCATCCCCAGTTGAGGGTCTTCTGTCATTAGCATGTGTTGAATTCGGGACTCACTGTTATCTAGTGGACAGTGCCATGATACATGGTCTCCAGCACATAGAATATTCTCTAAAATATAACAATTTACATTCAATAATGAATTATAAAGTTCTGAATAAACAGTTAAAATTGATGTAAGAGAAAAATAACCTAACAAATATATTCTTCTTCTTTTCCTCAACAAACATTTTAATCAATTCTTTATCTTTCTAGATTTTATCATGTTGTAGCTGTATTTGTTTTTTCAAAGCAAAGAAAAATATTTAATATTTCAATTAAGTTAAGATGAAAATATTCATCCTGCTTAATAATGATAAAATGAAGTTATTACTAAACTTAACATTTTTCTTACCTAAAAATGTATTACAGATAGATACTTATTTCTCTCTACCAATAAGTTATTACCTTTCATGCAACTGGAATTTCTTGTACATACCACAAGCCTAGAACAAACTCCCACCTCTACCCGTTTAAACATTTACTGTGTTAGCCTATAATTAGCATAATGTTGTAGCTCTCCAACAACAGTGGGATGACACAACATCCATGTGCAGTGAGCACTAGCACCTAATAATAAGCCCATTATTGACAAGTCAAACTATATGCATCGAAAGTGTGGAGAAAGGGTAGGAGATTATATCTATCTGAAATCAATTTTCAGGTAGAAAATGTTAACTTAAGAAACATTATTTACCCCCTCTGCACCACTGACAGCTAGAATCCCACACTGAAGAATGTAGAGAGGCGAGAACTAATCAATTACACAAGATTGAGAGTCTCTTAATAGAGCAGTTCCCAATAAGAGATTGCATCCTTCTCAGGCAGGGAATACTCTTCACCTAATAGTTTCTCTTTTGTCACTTTAAGGAGAACCATAAATGTTAGAAAAAGAATCCAATACAGTGTGTACACATCACCAAGGTGGTTGGAATGTCTAAATGTGTAGTGTGGGTACAGTTTTAGACTGATCTGTCTTGGTCAAATCCAATTTCCATCCAGCTAGACAAAACCACCAGAAATTGCTATTTTATTTTATAAGTAATATAACGACAGGTGTAGGAAGTAATATTTAAAACCCGCATCCCAAAACCCAGTTCCATCTGGCTGGACATATCCACCAGGAAGAGGTAGATATATTATGTAATGGGGTGTCCTGTACTACACTACAAGGCAACATCACAACCCTACATTTCAAATAAACAGTGAGCCCACTCTGTCTCTTACTGAAAAGATGGCACTGCCCACAGAGGAAACCCTCCACATTGGCTTCCCGAACAGCTTGGGTTGGTTGGTTGCTTGGCATTTTTTGGTACAAAGCAACTAGGCTACTTGTGCAAAACAACTGGTAAAAACTGTAAAAGTAAAATTTTTATAAAATGTAAAATTAAATTGAGTTTAAACTAAACAATGTCCAAAATTGAGATAAAAAATTCAAATAAACTTAAAAAGGTCTAAAATCCACAAAAAGCTAAAAACAAAAACACAGTCAAGTTCGACAGTGTCACCATTGCCAATATACAGTCCAATGTCAGGGGTAAACCCATAAAAATTATATTTCGAAAATGGTGCTGCCGCTCATGGCCGTAATAATGGCATGAAAGTAAAATGTGGGCTATTGTGACATGAGTGTCACAAAGGCTACACAATGGTGGGTCAGTACCAGATAAAAGAAAATGAAGAGTTAAAAACTGTGACCAAAGTGTAGCCTAGCCAAGACAACTTCCTCCTTCCGATCTTTACAGAAACAAGATGGCCAAAGAACAACAGAAGGTTTGATTTTGAAAAACTTGTTATGACGTTGCTCACCTGAAGTCAACTGCCAACTGGTGTGAAGCTGCAGCTTGAATATAGGACCGCAGTCCAGTATTCGGGACAGGCACAGCCAGGATGGCATCAGAGCAGATGGATTTAGTTGCGGCATCAGCAAGATTATTCCAGGATAACTGATGTGGCCAGGTATCCAGAAAAACTGGATGAAAACAAAATATAGAGAAAAATGGGCTAGTCATTGTTGAATAATGATGAGAACAGGGTGAGAAGTAAAGATAAGTGATTCCAGGGCCAACAGAGAGCTAAGAGAGTCTGTGTAAATAATACAATTGCTATACTGCATACCATCTACATGATTCAGAGCAAGTGAACTGGCATACCACTCTGCAGTGAACAAAGAAATTGTAGAGGGGATGCTGTGAGCAACCACCGAGCCACAACAAACCATGGCAGAGCCCACAGAGTCACCTCATTTTGAACCATCCAAATAAAAGGGAATAGAAAAATGGTTCAAAAGATGTTCAGCAAAGTGAAGAAGGTACTTCTAATTGGGAGTATCCACCTTCCTCAGATTACTCAAGTAAAGGTAACATTTGGGGATGGTAATAAGCCACGGTAGAATAGTCTGATCTTTGCAAACAGTAACATAATCCAATGCCAGACCCAATTTAGCCAGTTGTGCCTGGATAAGTAGGCCAAAGATAGGAACTGCAGACCATCTGTTCTGAAAGAGCACAGCCCACTGAAAAGAAAGACACAATCCCAGGTGGGATGTTGTGGTAAGGATCGAAACTTGGTTGCATACTGTAGAGAAAATTTAAAATGGTGGAGATGAAGAGGAGGTTTGTGGTGAAGTGTGGAAAGCAGAGCTGAAGCCCCAGATTGTGAATGAGGTCCAGCATCTTCAACGCTGATGTCGTGGCAGAACCACAGACCAGAAACCCATGGTACACAGTTTGGATCAATTAAGAGCATGATAGATCTTGAACATAGAACATCGATCCGCTCCCCAAGAGGTGGAAGAGAGGATATGGAGGATGTTCAGTGCCCTTGTATACTTGACACATAGCTGCTTGATGTGAAGAATGAAAGTAAGCTTACGGTCAAAGATAAGTCCAAGAATTTGCCTCAGGGATTACGAGAAGAACAACATCACCACTACAGAGCTCAGGATTGGGGTGTAGATCCCATTGGTGGCAAAAATGCATGCAAACGGTTTTGGAAAAAGAAAAGATTAAACCATTTGCTGTGGTATACTTGAACAAGCAATTGGGGGCAGTCTGAAGCTGTCACTCAATAAATATCATATTATATTTGACAAACTGCATGAGAAGTGGAAGTTGTTGACATAAAGTCCATTAGCAACAGTAGGAGGAAGTAGTGTAGTGATAGCATTGATCTTGATACTGAAAAGTGTGACACTCAAGATATAGCCTTGAGGGACTCCAAGTTCCTTTGTGAAAGAATGGGAAAGTGTCAACCACACACGGTCACGGAATCACCCTTTGAGTAAAAAGTTCTGAATAAAAATGGGTAGATGGCCACACAATCCATACGAGTGGAGGTCCCACAAAATGCCATATCCCTACATAGTGTTGTAAGCCTTCTCAAGATCGATGAAAACAGAAACAAGATGTTTCCTCTTGACAAAGGCTTCCCTGATTGAGGTTTCAAGTCAAATCAGGTGGTCCATGGTGGAGCGCTGTTGACGGAACACACACTGTGTAAGCAAGAGGAGGTTGTTTGAATCAAGGAACCAAACAAGACGAGCATTAACCATCCTCTCTGAGACCTTACAGAGACAGCTAGTCAAAGTAATTGGATGATAATTAGAAGAAATCTTGGGATCCTTCTAGGCTTAGAAAAAGGGAGGTCAATACCTTGGTGCCAAGCATAAGGAAAAGTGTTCACTTGCCAAATCCAGTTAAAACATTCAGAAGAATAGCAAAAGAGGTAGGAGAGAGATGGCACAGCATCTCATAGTGGACATCATCAGGTGCGACTGATGTGATTGGGGTTCAAGAAATACAGAAGGGTTAGGACCATCGGTTAGAACAGAAGGAAACTCGCAAAGTAAAGCAGCTTGTGGCACGTGCAGGAAATTCCATAGCAGTTGAGCATGAGGTAAGAGCTCTCACTGGTGCAGAGAAGTAACTTTTCTGAATTGAATATTTCTTAAAATTTCAGTCTGATGCTTGCTAAATATCGGATGTTCTTGTACAATAAAATCAATCTGAAACATTGAGAGACAATTTAATATTTAAACCTAAACTGATTTATCTTGTTATATGCAGTATTGAAAATAACAGTTGGATATCAGAACACGTTCAATAAAATTTTGAGTATGTCTAACCAAATCATGTTTATATGCACAATGTCCATTCAAACAAATTATCTGTCAAATTGGGAAAAATTCCTTTCCAAAGTTATACGAATGTAAGCACTTGGACGAGTGCTTTTTTTTGGTGCTCTATATATTGCAAAAACATTTAAAGAAACTATGTAAAATTCCCAGATCTGTAGTTTGTTCCCATGTCTTCTAAATTTCCCTTCAAATTCTTTGTTCTTCTTTAAAGGAGCACTAGCTAATAATTTTCCCATGAAACCATAAATTACTGCTAAAACCACTCTACTTACCCTACACTGACACAAATAATTCATAATATGCCCATCCAATCATATTTAAATGTTAGCTATAGCTATTTTCAAAGCTGTGCTTCATTAGTAAGTGTTTAGACCAATTGCTATGACATCATAAAATGGAAGGAACTAAGGGTGTAGCAAATTAGTAATAAAACCAGTGACAGAGAAGGATAATCACATGAGAAAAAAAAAAGCTTCGATAATTATATTCTAAAAGGATGATAGTTTTTTTAACCAATATAAATCTATACTTTCAATTTGTTTGTTTTCGGTTATTCATGCAAATGTAGCTACTCAAGGGCTATCTGCACTCGCAGTCCCTAATTTCAACTCTTTCAATATGGGGTTGGTCAATGTGACGAC